TGTGGGATGGTGTCATTTCAGTTAAATGAAGACTGCTCACAGCAAGAATAATCACTGAAGCTTATACTACATCTCAAACCACGTAAAAATAGTTGCAATTGTCGACAAGCTTTATGGACAGCCCAGTTGTTTAAATAGCCACATGTGAGGTAACTTTACAGTGTGAAACAGTACCCTAGGTCACCTCGTCTGATGTTGCTTTCCTTTGCAAACACCTGCTGCCAGAAGCGCTGTAGAAATATTGCTTCCATGCAACCTCAGAAAACAAACACACCCAACCTTTCATGTCATGCATAATAGTATTTTATCTTGAATGTATTACCGGCTCCCACCACCTGGTAACAACCATAATGCTGATATCCAGGACATGGGACCACTGTCTTTCTAGTCTGGGCTTCTGTGGATTGGATGCTGTGACACTGAAATTTTTTACGTTAATCAGAGGAAACAAATGGGTTGGAGAAAATCAGCTGAATATATTGTTTTACAACACACATGAACTTTATATATTAAAAATGGCCCATCTGTCAAGCCTTAAGGGCTAGGAAATCACCTAGAAACTTGTTGGATCTCAGGCCACTGGCAACAAAGTCGTGAATCTTGCTGTTGGTCAGGAAGGGGGTCTGGAGCAAAGGGCACAGCTAGGATACTGGCCGTACATGAGCTGCGAATCAAACAGGAGAGTCACATACTGAAGGCATGTAACAGTCGACTTCTGAAGCAAGTGTCTTCGGTAACTTTGGCAATCACGATTTCACAACCTGCTTTCCACCAGATGTTATTTGTGGTTTTAGAGTTTCTGGTCAACTGTACTTAGAAAGTGTTAGTTTAACTACAGCTGGTCAAGTTTATTAACTACAGACTTTTTCAGTCCGTAACATTCTAAACAATAGTACAAACAAGGACTCGGTTTTAAGTATACAACCCCATCTCTCTAATTTATTTGGCTTTACAACTTTTTAATTTGTTTGCTTGTTTTTGTTTGCCAGTGGAACATCTCAAATAGTTTAACTAGCTTCCAAGTTTTGTCCCAATAAATTAGTCTTCAATTTAGTATTTCAACAGCAGAATAACAAGAGCCTGAATTCTAATTTTAATAGGTCAAACAGGCTTATGAAGCTAATATTCTTATAATATCAAGTATAATCTTATGAAAATTCTGTTTATAACTACATTTTCAAAGTTCCAGAATAGATATAACACTAATAATATATGTAAAGAGGACATGTCATGTCTAGCAACCTAGGAGATGTTTGTTAAAGATCTGTATCTGCTATGAATCTTGAACAATGAGTGAGCCATGCCAAGCCTCATTTCCCTAACATGAAAGAAAGGTTAAATGGATCATTCTAAGAATCCATAACTGAGAGAAACATTATCAGCCCCTCAGCTCCTTCACCAGAAAAACAAGACAGCAGAATGAGAGTGGATCCTGTGTTTCCTTACCACAGACTAGTGTGTGGGTGCCTGAGGGCTTCTGGTGTGCTCCAGTTTGAGGGGAAGCTGCTTGGTGACTGCTCGGAGTGAGGTGACAGAAAGGTGACAGACAGGGCACCTCTGGGGACAGAATGAGAGGTGTCTTAGAGCCTCCAGTTCAAGTGCAATGTTATACTTTTCCATTTTGGGGTTTTTCTTTCTTTTTCTTGATTTTAAGACTTTTTTTAAAAAATTTCTGTTCTGAGATGGACTCGTGCCTAAAGTTAAGCTAACATGCAAGTCCATGCAATGTAAGATTTTATATGGTGAGTCAAGATAACCAGAGCATATTTTATTTTATTTTTTTCCTCTTAGTGAAACAAGATTCTTTTCTCAAATAATATATCCTGATTATAGTTCCCCTCCCTCTATTCCTCCCAGATCCTCCCACCTCCTGTCCCATCAGGATCCACTCCCCTTCTGTCTCTCATTAGAAAAGAACAGGATTCTAAGGGATAATATTAAAATATAACAAAGTAAAATATAATAAGATAAAGCAAATCTATCACATCAGAGTTGTACAGGATAAACCAACAGAGGAAGAGTCCAAGACAAGGCATAAGAATGAGAGACCCACTCATCTGCACTCTCAGGAATCCCAACACTGAACTGGAAGGAAAAGAGTCAAAGACAAGGCATGAGAATGAGAGACCCACTCATCTGCACTCTCAGGAGTCCCAACACTGAACTGGAATCCATAATACATATGCAGAGGAGCTGGTGCAGAACCGTGCAGGCCCTGTGCATGCTTCAGTCTCTGAGTTCATATGAGCTTTGCGCATGCTGATTTAGAAGGCCTTATTTTCTTGGTGTCCTCCATCCCCTCTGGCTTTTACACAATTTGAACCAGGGACTAGATAGTCCAGCGACCTAGGGTAAAACCAAATACCACTGCACTAAAATAATAACAAAAATAGTAGTGATAAAATGACTTCTAATGATATTCCGCTATACTCATACATGACTGCCTTGTTCAGCCGTCATCATAGAAGCTTCCTCCTGGAGCAGATGGGAACAAATGCAGAGACCCGCAGCCAGACATGATGGAGAGAGTGAGAAACCATGGAACACTCAGTCCTAAATGGGATGTCTCCATCAAATCCCTCCCCTCAGAGCTTGGGGAACTGGAGCATATTTTAAAAAAGAATGCTTATTTCTACACCCTCCAGGCATTTGTGTGAATACATATGACACCTAGTGGTGAAAGATTGGGAAATGGAATAGTCAAGGAAGAGGAAATAGGAATGGCCTAATGGAGAACAAGCTGCAGAGAAGGAACTGCATTTTAGAAAAACCCTTATCCACACAGATATATCATTCTCGGAGCCTTCATGTAAAAAGAAACAATTAGAAGAAGATTCAACTGCATAAGAAATTAAATGATCCTTAAAAAGTGTTCCTAATGAATCTGGAAGCTTGACAGCAAAGAAGAACAACTTCATCCACATATATTTTTCCCACCCAACTAAAGGGTGGATAACAAGTATTGGAGAATTCCTGTGACTGAGCACAGCCCTGTAGACATGTGGAACCGAGGCCATCATGACCCAGGCTATCATGACCCAGGCCATCAGCATCTTCCTATTCCCTGTGGACAAACACAGTCTTGGGAAATGTTTTAGGAAAGATAGTGCCATGAGCATTCCTTGCCAGAAACAGGTGGACATGTTTGTGTCTTTCAACAATTTCAGAATTTATTGAATAATAATAAATTCACAACTTCATGGCTGCATTTTCTTAGTCATCCCAGTTCTCTTGGTAGCTGGCTACTGGCAAACATGTTCTTTGATTCCCAATTGCATTAATAATGTTAACTATCTGATCACACATTACACACCACACAGTAATTGTGTCTGTCTCTATCCATGCATGTGCATGTTCACCTACATAGGGTACAAAATGGCTGCCCAGAGGTGACAGCAGAGCTCAGGTGAGTCTTACTGAGAGGCAGGAAGAGGAGTGTGACACAGATGCAAGGATTATGAATCTTAGGATGTTCTTGGGTGGGTGGCGGGGGTCAAACCACAAGGTCAGAGTGGAGCCGAGCCTCGGGGGTTGAATGCAGCCACCCAAGTGAGGTACAGAACAGCACACACCGTTGCTGCACAGTGCGCAACCTGGGCTAGAGGGTGGCTGCCAGCAGCTCAGGCAGACTGATGAGGCAGTGAGAACTGAGCTGAGCTAAAGCACCTTGAAGAGTCACAAGGGGTCTGTCTGTCTATCAGATGACAGGCTGGTGGGAGCTGTTGCCATCCTGGTGTTAGGGGCCTCCTCTTTACAGGGTCTAGGTGGAAGTGTCATACCCTTCTCTTGGTCTGCTGTGTTCAATATGTCCTCAAGCCTGCTTTTCCTTAATACACCCATGTGGTCCCGAATTACGTTTATAAACTTGCAAGTACTCCTTTTGCTTTTAAGAATAGGTTAAGTGAGCCGGGCAGCGGTGGCGCACACCTTTAATCCCAGCACTTGGGAGGCAGAGCCAGGTGGATCTCTGTGAGTTCGAGGCCAGCCTGGTCTACAGAGCGAGATCCAGGACAGGCACCAAAACTACACAGAGAAACCCTGTCTCAAAAAACCAAAAAAAAAAAAAAAAAAACCCAAAACAAACAAACAAACGAAAAGAATAGGTTAAGTGTCAGTCTGTGTCACATGGGCAATGCTGGACAAATGGTGCCATTTATATACACAGAAAGGTACAGAGACACCCTGCCTCTGAGTCTGCAGTCAAAACCAAGTCAAATGCTGTTTGTAACATGCTCTTTCTCAGGGCAAGACACAGCTGGAACAAAGCTTTTGCACTATATGGTGCAAGTCAGAGCAGGGCACAGCCTGATCTCCACACCAAGGATGCTTTAGGTAGGGCTTGTTAGAACTGAAAGGTACTGAAATGATTTGTGGCTCAAGTGATTTCATTTTAAAGCTCTGTGTCGTTTGCAAGCTTATACACAAGCACGTGTGTAGGTCCTTTTAAATAAAATCAGCACATCATCTCGTCTCTTAGGAAATGGTGAGAGTCAGAAAGTTACTAAAATTTTAGAGGGTAACAATGATCAAATGGAATTGTAAAACAACAGGCTGGAGAGAGTGAGCACCCCTGTGAACCAAGGCAAGCATCTTAATATTCCCAGAAGATCAGCGGTCCTTCTTTTTAGCTCATACCCCAACTTCTTGGCATTTTGAGGAGCATTCTAGAAAAAATATTTAAGAGATCTGCCAACTCTGTTATCTACTTCCCTGCATGTACTGAATGTCCCATCCTTTAAAATAAACCACCATCTACGATTAGAGTTTCCCTACATGGTAAGTACTGCAGAACACCCACTGTTCTTATCAATATTTCTCTTACAATCCATGGGAGGAGTGCGAGGTGGAGTTAGGCAAGTCGCCTTTTGGAAATACACTCTCACACATTCTGGCATTGTGTGTCTTGTCTACAAAAAGTGGTCTTGTTGACATTGGAAGTTATTGTTAATCTCCACAGTTAAGCCAGCTTAAAACAACTCCAGAACTGTTTGTTGTTTCAGATTACTCATGCTCCTGCTCTCCTTCACTGATGTAGATGGTCAAGGACTGGGAGACCTGGGAATCCATCCCAGACACTGAGAAAAGACTGAGAATTGAACTGGCTTGGTGGATATGCAAAGCATCTCATGACTTTGGAGCTACTCTATCAACAAACAAATAAACAAAAATCAAGTTCTCAAAACCCCAACACCCAATAAACAAGCTTCCATAAGCCAGAAGGAAAACACCTTTATTTGCGTCAACGTTTTCTTGGAACTTTCTTAAGTCAACTGTTTTTGAAGAGACTGAGATCCAGCTCAGGCTCTGCCATTGGCTCTTCCCATTGGGCAAGTCACATGGATTGTTACGGTGTCCAGTCTTCATCTAATAAGATAAAGGGAGTCTGCTCTCAAGATTTGGAAGTTTATCTTTTCGTTTATATACTTTATCTATGGGTGCATTGGCATTGGCACACCACAATCACACATGTGTTGAGGTCAGAGGGCAACTTGAAGGAGCTGAGTCTCTTTCACCATGTGAAGTCCCAGGTGAATGAAAAAATGAGAACAGAACTGCTCTTAGGGACAGTGCATGTTTATTGTGGATAAAAGGGAAATTACAGCCAGAGGCACATGGAAGGGTCCAGACTGAACCAAGTCATGAGATGTGGGCGGTGGGGGGGGGGGGGGGGGCGGGGAGAATAGAGCAAGAGATGAAGAGAAGAGACGGGTAGTCCAAGAATACCTGGGGGCCCAGAGACCTAGAGACCAAAGAGCACCAAGAAACTGGTAGCCAAAAATGGCTGGCAGTTGTTCTCAACCTGTGGGTTGTGACCCCTCAGGGTTGAACGACCCTTTCACAGGGGTCAAATATCAGATATCCTGCATATCAGATATTTGCAGTACAATTCATAACAGTAGCAAAATTACAGTTATGAAGTAACAACAAAAATAATTTTATGGTCGGGGGTCACCACAACATGAGGAACTCTATTAAAGGGTCACAGCATTATGAAGGTTGAGAACCACTGGTATGGTTATAAAGGGATCAGAGGTTGGGGGAAGGGAAGCCCAGCCAAGCTCTGGGCTGGAGAGTTTAGGGGTAGAGGTGGGGTATGCCAACCGGGATGACTCTGTCACAGGCACTAGCGAGCAGGGACTGAGGGACACTGGCAGCTAGAGTCTGCTTTGAAATATTGAATGAGCACCCCAGTTAGCCATTTGTCCGGAGTTTGAGACCTAACAGATTTTTTTTCTACTAAATGATCTCTCCAAGTTGCTCCACTCTGGGCTTGGGGTTTATTTGATTCCACGACCAATCAAATAGGAATGACAGTAGTGGACTAGTGAAGATGAGGAAGCAAAGGAATTTAAGAATAAAGAAAAGGTTCACTAATTTTTTAAATTTACTTGGTGAGAAAATACTCAAGGGCAGGTAATCTAGAGTATTGCAGCAAGCAATCACAAACAGGAGCTGTAAGCAAGCTGTAAGGGGCTGGCCTGGAAGAAAAGGTGGAGGGACGTGTCTCTGCTCTTGGTTTTAGAAGAAATGCCCTCTTTTGCCTTCTGGCCCTCCCTCCAACTCAGGAGACTCCCTCACTTGACCGCAAGCTCAGGATGGCCTGAGACTGTGTTGTTTACAATGCACTTCTCAAGGAAGTGCTACAGAAAATGCTGCTCAGACACTCCTTGCACTTGAGGGACAGAGTGTTTGGTTTCTGTTGTTTATTTAGCTTATGTACTGAATGTGGGAGCACGCATGCCCTGCACACAGTTCAGAGGGAACTGTTGCTCCATACCAGTGGGCATTTCAGCACAAGAGGATTGAAAATGCAAGGACAAAACTCAAGAGGCAAGACTGCCAAGGTTACCAAGGAACTCAATTTAAAAGGCTGAGCACTTATCGACTGCTTCTAAGCCATTTCTCCCTTAAACATTAAAGATGTTTTAAAGGATGGTGCAAAGATCGTGAGAAGTGGAAACACAGGATACACAGAAACTAAAGACGTATGTTCTTCCCTTTTTATCTAAATTTTTAACCTTAGTCTACCATTGTTGAGGATTATTTGAGCAACTAGCTCAGACATGTGACTAGCAGAGAATTACAGATGTTTTAAAAATCTAAGTCACATATAATAGATGTGTAAATACAGATGGTAACATGAATTATAGTCACAATTTTCCTCCTCTTTGTTCAGATAATATGTTTCCATGCCAGTCTACTGCATTATAGACTTTGGGCAGGGAACATGTCTAACATTGTAAATGTTGCCTAAAATAAGTATCTATAACAATACATTTATGGAGAACAATGCGTTCATGGAGATCACACCCATCTGCACATGGTTCTTCCCATCTCCTCAGCCAGCAAGAACTTCCTTCTGCCTCACTACATGATAGACTGTATACGTCTGTTAACCTTCCATAACCACCAAGCATGTCTGTAGAGACAAAAGGCTAAAAACGGGGACATTGAGAAGGCTCAGTGGGAAAAGGTGCTTGTTCTATAATATATAAATATAACAGAATATGTGACATAATATATTATAATATTCTATAATATAATATAATATAATATAATATAATATAATATAATATAATATAATATAATATAGAATAAAAATCTATATGCCTGATGAGTTGTGTTCTATCCCTGGAACCCACATAAAGGTAGAAAGAGAGAATCAACTCCACAAAGTTGTCCTCTGACCTCTAAGCACGTACTATGGCACGTGTCTCACACATACACACACAACACACACACACACACACACACAAACTTATTCTTAAAAATAAAAACAAATGTATACACTTTGCCATTCAGGCTGTGATCAGTTGGTGCCTGACTCATGAATCTTACACTGACATCTGGTACCTAACTCTTAATGATCTTTGTGCCTTAAACAAGTGGTCAGTCTCAAGAAAAACAACTCACACTGTAAAATTTATTATCAACAAGATAACCAGATGTCAGTCTGTCTACCCAGATATAGGTCCCTACAGAAATTCCAGGATGCCAGGACCAAGCAATTTCCCTAACAACTGCTACAAAAGCTCTGCCCCTTCTCTTGATGTGGAAATGCACCCTCTGGAAACTCACCATCATTCTCTTGCAGTGCATTTCATTAAACTCTCTCTTGGTCTGTACGAGCTTTTAGTAAATTCTTCCTAGAGTATTCCTTGTAAACTGTCTGGCAGAAATGAAGACATTCTAAAGTGACATTTGAGTATCTGAACCTGTCAAACAAAATTCCAAAGAAATAGGAATTTCCCAGGGCATCTCATGCTGAGAGAAGACAAGATGGAAATTTGTCTCCAGGAAAGAGATTTCACACAGTTCTACAGGGTGATACTGAAACCCAGATAACAATGGATCAGTAGGGACAAGACTTCTCATTGGCCAGGACTGCTAAAATATACACATCCTTGTTTAAACTCTGATCTCACCTCAGGACCCTGAAGACCAGACCTGAAGGGTTTGCGGGATCTCTTTTGTCCCTCCACCAATGTGGCCACATGAATAAAAGTCCTTTTTCTGCTTTCCTAATAATTTCTCATTATTAGCCTATTGAGGATGGGTGACTGGACCTAAAAAACAGTGGCACTGTTTACCATACAAAAGAAGCCTCAAGGCACAACAAAACCCACTAAAAGAGTTTATTAAGGGGAAGGAATAGAAAGAGTGTGCATAGGCTGTGGAATGACCATGCAGGAAGAAAGAAGAATAGGTGGAACCTGCTTTTATAGGTGTCCCCTGCCCCACCCCGCCCTGCCCCACCCCTGCGCATGTGCATATGGGCTTACATAACTACCCTACACATGTGCATAGATTACGTGATCACAAAGCGCATGGATTGTGTAGAACATACAGCCCTAGGATGACTAAGCATCTTGTCTGGCTACTGGACAGCACATGCGCAGTCATGCAGCTGGGAGAGCAGCTAGGAATCCTAACAGCTGTGAACCTCAAGCTCAACAATGACATCACTAGTGATCTCCATACGCCATTTTGCACGGTGTTTTAGTGGCCCGTAAAAGGAATCGCTGCCACTTCACCTCTCTTGAGCCCTTACTCCTATGCTGTGGTGGCTGGCTGAGTAGAGACAGCTGAGGGGCTCAGGCTTATGTAATACCCTACCATGGCATGAGGACTGCTGGACTGTGACTCCAGCTTTCGGATGCCCTTCAGCACAAAAGCCAAGTTCTTTTGGCCCCTGAGGAAAGTTTACTGTTTGCAACTGAAAGTCCCTGCCCAAGGCAAGTCTTTGATAGTACCTGAAGGCAATGGAAAAAGAAAGGCCTCTTATCCTCAGTGAGAATAAGGGACAGTGTTCTTCCTTCTGGAAATTCCCTCATAAACTGCAGCAGCTCGTCTGGGCTGAGTCTATACAAATGAGCACTCCCTGGTTTCCTTCCCCTCACTCTTTTGTCTCTCCAGAATTTGCTCCCACGTCTCCTTGGAGCAAGAGGGAGCAGAGCACCCAGGTATACCTGTCCCCCCCTCCTGGCCAGACTTTCCAACCTGAGAGATTGACAGGTGGCTACGCTTTCCTTTGTCCAGGTCAGTGAGTTCCCATCCCATCAAGACCAACCCGTGGCCAAGTTTTGGACTGGGAATCTGATCCCAGAGACTCACCCTGGACTCAGCACCATAAATAGCTCCAAAGTGAAATCAGGTCTCACTTTCAGGAGCCAGGGGTCCTCGAATCACAGTGGGTTAGAATCCTGCATCAAGTCCCTTGTGGACAAACAGGAGATCTGTTGCACACTAGGACACTTTTTGGGTGGATCTTGTACCTCAGTAGAACACTCAGAGTGTTCTGCCTGTCTTCCCCTCTGACTCAGCCCTCAGATATATTGTGCTGCCATGGGACCCCTATTTTTACCTGCTCTGGTGCGGGTGGTCTTGTCTTTGTGCAGTCTTTCTCTATCACTGCCTCTTACCCTTGTCTAATTTCTGCTTCCACAGAACAGTTTACTTCCTTCCTTGATGGGTAGTGGGATTCAAGAACTTCCCAACGTTAGCCATTTTGGAAAAACTTCTTTAAAAGTTTGAATTTTATGTGTATTTGAAGCATAAATAGGTAAACTATAAGCCATTTGGGGGCCAAACCCAGGACCCCAAACTCTCAGGCTTACCAAAATACCTAATATATTGGCCCTGATAACTCTCACCCTCTCTAGCACATCTCTCTGAATCTCTGAGGAGAGCACTGGGACTCAGCTGAGCACCAACTATGATGCTGAAGCCAAGTTGTTCAAGTTGGACTGACCTCTGTGAAGATTCACAACCCACCGCTTGTTTGTGGACTGGTCATGAGGGAAGCAGGTCTTGTTGTTCTGGAGAAACAAACTTCTTTCTGCCAACTTCCTTATGGGACTTCTGCTTTCCACCCAGATGCCCTGAAGGACTAAGTCGTATTGATCCCCATCAAAAAGCAACTTTTTAGGAGCAAATAGCTCAGCAGCCAAGGAGCTTGCTGCCAAGGCTAATTACTTTGAATTTATTCCCTAGAACCCCTATGTCAGAAGAAGAAAAATCAACTCCTATAATCTAATCTGTCTTCTGATCTCTGTGTGTGCACTGTGGCATGCATGCAAACACACACACACACACACACACACACACACACA